CAAATTAACTAGTTTTGACACTGCAAATACGGTATATGTGTATATATATATATATATATATATACAAAACATTTGAGCAGGGAATATAAAACATTAGCTATTGTAAGATTTTACCAGGGCACTGCAGGGTCTCAGGAGGATGTGGCGGTCTCACCAGGGCTGTGCACATTTTCATCAGGGCTGTGCGTATTCTCACCATGGCTGTGCGTAATCTCACTAGGGCTCTGCGAATCTCAGCAGGTCTGTGGAGGATGCATTCCTAATTTACGCCATATTTTATGGAGGATTGTATAATTAATAGTAAGCTATAGTTAATTTTTTCTTTGAATAAAATAGATTTTTGTTTTTTAACGTCACTGTATGTTGGAATATATGGAGTTGATTAAGAAACTGCTCTTCTGTGGAGCTTTACAAGGTGTGTGATGTCGTATCAGTGTGATGAACTTAGAAAGATGCAGTAAAACCAACAGTTCAGTCTGACTGATAGAGCCGAATTTAAAGTGATATTAAAGTTATAGTTTTTTTTTTTTTTTTCTGTCTTTATTGCTGATCTTTGTTTTTTTGAATGTCTCAATTCCTCATTTTCCCGTAGGTCCCCGCATCGCTCTTTCCCCCGCACCCCTGCACAGGTGCCGCCAGCAGCTAAATGGCTGCTGTGAAGGCACCCGTGCATGCTCGTTCCTGGCCGTGCCTACAAGTGGCTGTGTGTCCCCATAGACACATACTGCCCTCCAGCAGGCCACACCCCTCCTTTCCGCCCAACAGTTTGACTGATGGCATAAGGAGCCTCTGCCCTTATTATCCTCCCCCGAAACCGGGAAGTTTTTGATGGAGGATCACTTCGGGGACTGGGAGTGGTGACAAGCGGGATTGAGAGGTAAGTGTGGGGGTACGGGAGAGTCAAAAAGGTACTGAGCGTTTTTTACCTTAATGCAGAGAATGCATTAAAGTAAAAAATGCCCAGCCTTTAACACTACTTTAAGTGCTTACTGAGATTAATAAAAAATAGTAATTGGATAATATAAGAACAATTCTACATATTTTACAATCTCAGGTCTAGTTAGCTTGCTTGGTTCTCCAACTCTGCTTCTGCTGGCTGCACTTGTCTAGAGCAGAGCTCAATGTTTTCAGTGTGCCGTGTTATATCAAACATTGCATCCCGACATCCCTACAGACATGTATGTTCCTTGCCGATCCATGCATGGCTTACAAAGCCAGTGGGTTTAGGTGTTGCGTTCGGGGTGATTACGGTGCGCCTAGGCACACCCAGCACAATCCGTGGTCACGCCTATGCCTGTAACCTGAAGCCAACCGATACTGGGCTATCGCATAGCTCCCAACTGTCCCTCATTAGGAGGGACTGTCCCTTTTTGGAGCCACAATTTCTTCTTCCTTAATCGTCCCTCTTATGGTTTGATGTATAGATCACTATAGAAAAATATATTATTTACTTATTAAAAGTGTTTTACTGCACTAAATCTTTTATCTAACCCTTAATTGATTAATTTTTTTATTTTTGAAAAGCAAAAATCAAGAAGCAATAGTGTTGAAAAAAGCAATTTTGGGTCAAACAAAACCTTGGGTTAATCTTTATGATCCACATTACTGGAAGGGTGATAGGGATGTGTCCTTTCCCTACATACTTCAAAGTGTCCCCCTTTCCCATCTCAGAAAGTTGGCAGGTATGCTATCGACTGACTGGGCACAGCCGAGCCACTGTCAAAGAGGATCCCAACAACATTGTTGGAATTCCAGCTGTCTAATTGAAATCGTGCGGCTGAGACCCAAAGCCAGCAGGACTCCCCTCATCAAACCTTTGCCTGATGAAGGAACCGCGATTGGTTTCGGAACGTTTGTGTTCCATAGTGATACCATGTTTATCTTACGTCAGTTAAGGACGGATTGATAAGGTGGACTGTGGTGTGTTGGTTACCTGACTTCTTAAACTCCTTTGTCTGTTGCTCCAGTCAGCCCTGGAGCAGCAGAGAGGATAGAGGAAAAATGTCAGCACTACCGGGAGCAGAGGCACTACTGGGAGCAGAGACCGAGAGCTGTCAGGGCAGTGGTCACGTGATCAGTCAGCTCTCGGTCTTAGAGCCAATGTGGGACAAGTGAGTATGTGTGTTTATTTTTTTCATGACCCCAAAGTTCTCCTTTAAAATTATACAAAGAGATAGCAGACAGCTAGTGCTTCCTCATTGGGTTTGTCAACATGACCCAGAGAATGTTCACGTTGCAGTGCATTTTTAGGGAAACCTTTTTGCATTGCTGAGCAGATCTTTGGGTTAGAGAAAAAGAATGTAAATGGAACTCCATAGTGCTGGAACTCCAAAATGGTCTGGCATTATACTGGCACAGCATTTAGGAGGAAAGGTTACAAAGTACGGTATACAGTGTATGTAGAAATGTTTTTAAACATTCACCCATATTGATTACATAATTTATATCAAGCTAATCTCTTTTAAATGTTTATCTAAAATATAATTGAAAGAACTGTAGATTCCCGTAGGTTGGCCCAGTTATTTTAGTTCCTATGTGCTGAACATTCCGCTGTCATCACCATTTTACTAATGGCCATACCTTTCAATCTTTTTTGCATGCTACCTATCAGGAGAACATCAACTCTAATAGAATCATGTCACAGCTTTTTCCTGCTGTACAGATGACACATATTACATAGAATACATGTGATACCCACAGAAAGCCTCTGGTCTGTACTGAACGGAAAGGAAGCTAATAGGAATGTTGTCATAAATGAACAAATCGTTTAAGTATGTTTATGGTTTCATGAGTCTTTCAATGCACCAAGATGACACAAATGAGAATTATTATTAATATTTATTACTGTTATTATTTGTGGCAGATGCAGCCCATTTGTCTGCATTATTATGGTATATGGATTCCAAGCATAAAAAGGTGTTTTAGAGTGAGCAAATGACACATGTATAGCAATGGTATTGTTCTGTAACACACAGCATAAGAGTTTAGTTCTGGCACATTACTAGGACCATTAACATGAGGCTTTGTTCTCCTTCAGTGTTACCACCAGCATGTATGAATGACATCCATTTGCTGCCTATATGCATAAATAGAAATGCCCACATATTTAACACTGACATGCACTTAGCATTGTTTTGTTTGAACCTAAGGCTGCTAGTGCAGGTAAAACGCTAGTCTAATCGAATGTATCTTTGTCTGTTTCTGAAAGGACTAATGTATTCTGATACATGTACCTGTGAAAATGTGTTTTCTTTTTAGTCACCTAATGTAAAAGTGACTTTATTCTTCCTCTTTTTGTAAGCATTCTGTGTATTAATATGTACATGTACTAATATGTGACTTCTATCAGGCTTGTACAACTTGTTATTGCGTCAGGAGGGCAAACAACACACTTTCACACCCGCACAGTGTAGTATTTATTATCTACACGTTGACTGGACAAACACGAATACCGAATAACCAAAATAGCTAAGACTATTTGGTCAGTTCTAAAGTTTATTCAGCCTAGAAAGCCGCACATGTAGTGACTTTTGGTAGGTACAACCAATATTTAGATACATTTAGGAATTTTTTTACTACCCCTTTTGCCAAAGCAGTTTTTTTTTATTTGATTACATTAATTGCTAGAAAGGATTGTTTAAGTGTATTATTTATAAGTCTAAATACCGCCAAAAGAGGTAGAAAATATGGGGTGGACAATGTAAGGGTTTTCTATGCTATAATTCAATAATATACTGGTGTATGAAAAGCAGATAATCATGTCAGGAGACTAATTTTTTCTCACCAGCTTGCCTATGATTGGCCATTGTACTTGCTTAATGCAGAAGTCACTCTTTGATATATAGAAGGGACAGCAAACCCAAACTATATGACCAAAGGTCATATAGCACAGCTGACCATCACACCCACCTACCTATATGGCCAAAAGCACGTGGACACATCTCCAAATGATTGAGTTCAGGTTTTCCCAGTAAAGGGTACTGTTTGTATTACAGAATACAAAGACATAGAACCGTAGCTGATCGCTCCAGTGTGTGATATTTCTGATATGCACCAATCCTCCGCCGCTCGGGTCGGCACAGCCTGCAGCTTTTCCTCTGGATCCCCGCTGCTCTTCCCCGCCTGTATGGGCAGAGTCAGCGGGGATCCAAGAAGCAATATTTTATACAGTTGTGCCCTTCAACCTCAGGGCAACAGTTTGCACAAGGACTCCCTCTGTTCCAGCATTCCCCTGTACACAAAGAAAGGTCATTAAAGACACATTTTGAGGAGTTCACTGTAGAACAGGGGTAGCCAGATTTTAGCCCTCCAGCTGTGGAGAAACTTCAAATCGCATTAGGCATAAAATCTAGGTAGGACGAGACACCAGACCTGTTTCCGAGGTCCTTTATATTCCAGGTAACTCCAGCAGCCATCAGCTTCCCTGGTTCTCCTCCTCAATTAGCAGCAAAGGCCTCCTCCGGGCTTGAGGCCTAACAGCATTTTCTACACCCAAGTGTTCCCACTTGGCCTGGGGGGCAGACTGGACAGCACCCCAGCTTGGACTAAACCATGGCTGGAACCCGACTGAGCACACAGCGATTCCACCGCAAGTATATATGCCCTTTTCCAGCATGCAACACTGGCCATGAGAGCCCCAGTGATTAGCTGGTGGACTGCACACATGCACAGTGTCCCCCATTGGTTGTCTCACGCTGCAGCAGAGTCACACTCCACTCAGGCAGGTACAATCAATGCCAGAACACCTGGAATTAACCAGATAAATGCCAGCTATAATTCAGCCAGATTGACTACAGTTCTGGCAATTACTAAATTTCTAGTAGCCACTCCACTAAAGGTGATAGGGGCTACACATATATAATAACACAGTAGAACATTACACGTTGGGGAAAAATATTTAGAACATGTAATGGTCATAAATGACAAATTGAAATTAGCAACCCACTAAAGCGAACTACCAATCCTCTTCAACATATAATTTTCTAGCAAATGTAACACTATCACTTAAACATAATCCAACCTGTTTTACATATCACTACAAAGCAATATTAGTTGTGGCTCTTAGTCCAAGGGCACATCAGCAGCTAGCTGATATTATGACAGTGACCTAAATCCCATTAAACAATATTTACATTTATAATGGGAAATGTGCCAAGGTTAGACAACATGATCATTAAGGCTGGGTTCACACCTGGGCTTTTTTCAACGCTGATTGAAGCGCTGAAAAACGCTCAATCACTGAAATCCTATTAACTCCTATGGGCACGGTTCCCACCTGGGCGTATTTCAGCGCGTTTTGACTCCCTACGCCCGAAATAGTACAGGAGCTTCTTTGGGGTGGATTTCAGCGCATATCCATTGGTATTTCCCGAGTGTGGCTCGGGGTTAACAAAGCGGTATCCCCGA